GAACTATTTTTGAAATATAAACAAATAAAATAAATAAAAATAAAAAGATGCCACCAAAGAGATTTGTCCATCGTGCATCGGAAGACATCAAAGAAAGTGTCGAAGAACTTAAATATTATAAAAGATATATCTCTGTAGAGCAAAATGAAAATAATTCAAGCAGAATACAAAGGAAAAATAATTTATATTATATGATGTATTGTTAGGAAAACATTAGATCACTTCTAAGGACATATTTGGATCCTTTTTTTAACCTCTTTGCCTTCCTAAAAATAAATCAAAGTAAAATTACAATATGTATGATAAATATATAGATGAAATGTGTGTTTAAACTACATACATGTAATAGACATTCATGACCATGTAAATGTAATAAAGCCATTCCTCTTTGAGGTTTTATTGTGATTCCATTATTATCTTTTTTTGACTTATAAAAAACAGTTTCCCCGCCTAAAAGTGGATATTCAGATTCGCCTTCACCACCATTTAAATAAATCAATAATGTCCATTGACTTAAACTACCTAAAGAATCTTTAACGGAAACATCATAATGTTTACCAAATTTTTGACCTATACAATATTTATAAATCCTAATGTTGTGATTAAGACCTGAAACTGTTTTTTCACCCGATTTCCAATCAGAAACTAGCAAATCCAATCCTGAATTAAATAAAACTCGCGAAAAATTTTTATCTTCTATCGAAAATCTATGGTTATTTCTAAATGCTTCGCCTTTTTTTGGAGATGGGTTGGCGGTAGATTGCAATGGAATATTGTTATTGATGAAATTAATTGTCTCGGCACATTCTTCAGATGTGAAAAACGAGTTTATAATTAAAATTTGATTAGAGAGTATTGTTTGTAATTCTAAATTAGATTTTAGAGATAATTTTGGCCAATTTAAAATGTTTTTAGTAACTTCATTAAAGTTTTTTGCTTTTGTATCTTCCTTTTTTTTTATATTTTTTGGTGGCATCTTTTTATTTTTATTTATTTTATTTGTTTATATTTCAAAAATAGTTCCAATTTTTCAAATATATTTTAGCGTTCAGATAAGAATTTTTTTTTTTTAGACAATAAAAATGAAATTTCTAAAAAAAATTTAAGATTTGATAATGTGTAACTTTTAAAATAGAACGGAATCGGCATTATATTTATTATTTATGGTTTTATATTTGTTCAATGATAATGGTGACAGTAACAACACTAAGATAATTCTAAATAAATAAAAGATTTATTTATTTCCTCTTTTTTTTTCTCTTCTCTCTTTAAAAAATAAAATAAAATAAAATAAAATTATAAAATTATAAAAAAAAAAAAAAAAATTTAAAAAAATTAAAAATAAAAATACCAAAACTAAAATTTAAAAATATAAATACCAAAAGTAAATTACAATAATAGAAAAAATAAAAAATGGCAAAAAAGATCAATAATAAAATAATAACTAATTAATGTGTTATTTAAATTAATTTATAATAAATTACTGTATTATTTCACTTATTATTGTTGTTATTTAAATTTTGATTTATTTGATTTACGGCATTTTGAATATTTTGGAGTTGAAATTTTATGTGAACAAGTAGTTGATGATCTTGATGATTATTTTGATGCATATTTTGACCAATGAAATTATTATCAAAACACGGATGATTAATGCTCGTAGCAATAGTTGGATTTTGGTCAATGAT